TCCAGGGGGTCTGGCGAGGGGCAGCAATGCCAGCCCAGGGGAGAATTCGGAGGACAGGCTCACCCTGCCACTCCCACCCCCTATCTTGGTGAAGTTGTGCAAAAAGCTGCATCACATCAGATGTACTGCCTTAAGTGGACTCTAAGGTCTGTGCTGGGAGTTTAAATTCCATAGAAAAAGTTGGGGGGTGGGGGAGGTGGTGAAGGGTTCATGTCGTAGTGTCTCCCACCCTCTCCAGTACTAGCTGCTGGTTGCTGGTCTCCTCTGGACACCAAGGAGACCCTCCTACTCGGGAAACTGACCGCAGTGGGGCTGGGCGGAGTGTACGTTTGTGCATGTGTCAGTGAATGTGTGTTTGTGTATATGCGGGAAGTGTGAGTGGAAGTGTGTGTTTGCATGAGAGTGTGAGTGTGTGTGTGAGAGAGTGTGTATGCACACATGTGTGTGTGTGCATATGCACACGCATGAGCACTTACAGATGCTGCCAGACTGAAGAGTTATATTCAGCAGCATCAACTGTCCTCAGTGGTTCCCACCAGAGGCAGGTTTGCCTCCCTGAAGATACCTGGCTGTATTCAAGACATTTTTGGTTCTTACTGGCTGGAGTGATACCACAGAGGGTAGGGTGTTTGCCTTGCATGCAGCTGGCCGGGCCGACTCCTGTTCGATTTCTCCACTCCTCTCGGAGAGCCCAGCAAGCTACCAAGAGTATCTCGCCCACACGGCAAAGCCTGGCAAGCTACCCATGATGTATTCAATATGCCAAACACAGTAACGAGTCTCACAATGGAGATGTTACTGGGCCCGCTCAAGCAAATGGATGAACAAGGGGAGGACAGTGCAGTGCAGTGCTATTACTGAAGTGAGGTGGGGGTGTGATTGGCCGCCTCTGGATGGAAAACTGCAATGGCTCTCCCCTCAAGAAAGATGCACCCAGCCTGAATCTGGGAGGTAGGACAGTTGTCTCCTCACCTACTAGATAAGGAGGGACTGGGCTTGGGGCTGAAGGAGAGGTAAACCATCCCACAAGGCCATCATGAGCTTTGGGAAGGATCTGATTGTTTATGGCCCTGTCCCCACTCTCACATATTTATGCCCCTTCACCAAAGCTGCATTGGAGGCTTTTGTCTTGGCTCAGAACTGGACGACTAAGGCTCAATCACTATTGCAAACACACTTTTCAGAACTCTTCTGGCCTTTGAGGTCATGTGACTTGCAATGGGTTTCTGGGGAGGAGGGAGCCAGGGGGAGGGTGAGCTGGTGGCCGGAGTCCCAGAGCCTGTCCTCAGCTCTTCTTCTCGGTAAATCTCTCTTTCTGTGTTAGACTTCCTTACGAAATTTTCTTTAGATCAGTGGTTTCCAGGAAAATGTGCAGAGTTTTTTTGTCTAGGCAAGCAGAGGCAGGGTAGGCAGGCTGTCTTACTGCCCGAGTGGATAAAACTACCTGCAACCAGCCTGGTCTTCCTGCATGCCTGGTGCTCACTCTCAGTTTTGTTTTTGTTTTTGTCTTTTTCAGTGAGGGGCAGGGGTAAGGTGCAGCCTTTACCCTCTGCAGCCCTCGTGGTAGCTGTGGTTATATGCTGGAGTGCCAGCTGAGCCCTCCAGGTCCCGGTGGAGCTTGCTGCCTCCTCCCACATGAACCGTGATCAGCTGCAGATGGCCCTGTCCCTGTAGGCACTCATCTTTCCCCCCAGGACAAGGACTATGAAAGCGCCAGCCTATCTCCCTGTGGACTTCGGGTCCAGGCTACAACCTGACTGGCACTTGTGTCTCAGCCTTAGGACAGCTGGCATATGGCTTCTGACAGTTCTGCTAGGGACTGTCCTGGGCTCAGTGTCATAAAGACTGCAGCATGTCTTGTCCCTATCTGTAGCACTGTAGCACTGTCCTCCCATTGTTCATAGATTTGCTCGAGCAGGCACCAGTAATGTCTCCATTGTGAGAATTGTGATTATTGTTTTTTTCATATCGAATATACCACGGGGAGCTTGCCAGGTTCTGCCGTGCGGGTAGGATATTCTCAGCAGCTTGCCAGGCTCTCTGAAAAGGACGAAAGAATAGAACCTGGGTCAGCCGCATGCAAGGCAAATGTCCTACCCACTGTGCTAATACTCCAGCCCTACTGATAGTCAAATCGGTGTGCAGATATTGCTGAGTGCCAAGTGCTCCTTCAGACAAAGTTTGCTTAGACTTTTCCCCCCCTCATACCCCTTTCTGTTTTTGTTTATAATTTTGAAGTGGGGGGAGGGTTTGGGGGTCACACCTGACTAAGCTCAGGGGATCACTCCTAGAGATGCTCAGGGGGACCCTATGCAGTGCTGGGCATTGAACCCAGGTCAGCCCCATGCAAGGTAGGTGCTTTTCCTGCCACACTATCTTGCTGGCCCTACTAGCAACCTCTTTTTGCTGGAGAAATGTTTCTGTTATTCTGGTACATAAAATTCAAGGATTAGGGAGAGTTCCAGGTGCTGAGTTTATGCTTTCCATGGAGCTGTGATTTCTCCAGCATTGTCTGGAGCAATTCTAGAGCCAGGAGTAGCCTCTGAACATCACTGGTTGTTCCTCACCATCCCCTTCATCTGCATCAAATAGATAGCACTGTAGCACTGTCCTCCTGTTGTTCATCGATTTGCTCAAGCGGACACCAGTAACGTCTCACAACAAATTGTGAGACTTGTTGTTACAGTTTTGGCATATAGAATATGTCATGGGTACCTTGCCAGGCTTTGCCGAGTGGGTGAGATACTGTTTGTTGCTTGCTGGGCTGTCCGAGATGGGGAGAGGAATTGAATCCGGGTCAGCCGCTTGCAAGGTAAATGCCCTACCCACCGTGCTAGATCCCTATGTAACAAATAGGTACATAAATCAAACACTTGCTGATCATTTATTATAAACGCAAATTAAAACAAAATGTCAGAATCCTCCTAGTTGACCCAGTTTAAGAAGCGAGGATTTAGGCAATTGGGCGAGCATTCTCAGAACCACACCTCATGCTCCATTGGGGCCTGGGGCATGCTGGTGCTGGGTTGGGCTGAATGGGACCCTTGCTGCTGCAGTGTTTATTTGTGGGAGGAGACTGGCCAGTTTCAACCTCCTGCCTGACTAGTTTGGGAAGCTGAGAGGTCCTGAGAAGGAAGGCGGTATGGGGCGAGGTTGCACCAGCATGTTGGGGAAAGCGGGAAGTCTGAGACTAGGCCTTCTGATCTGTTCTGAGCTGGAGAGGCCACAGTTGATCGAGGGCTTCTGGAAAACTCAGGGTACCACTCCAGTCCTGTCGAACTGTCACTGCCGAGTCCCTGTACATGCAGACTTGTTTTCTAAACATTTTTCTCAGTGGGGTAGTGATAGTTTAAGAGGGAATTTTATTGCCCACATCACTTGTGAGATTTGTCACAGTTTATGAGCTGCTCTAAGTCCTTGCAGCAAGCAAGTCGTGTTCCAGTAGGGCTGGAATGAGACATCTGGGGTACCTGTCCAGGAGAAACCCCAGGTGGGGCTGAAGAAGGCCTGTAGAAGCCCACTCACAGACAGCTGGGTCCTCAGGGAGCCTTTCTGAAATGTGAAAAGCTTTTCTTCTCTTCAAGTGGCATGGCCTTGCCAGGGTGTCTGGAAGGTTCCCTGGGGTGTGTAGGCGAGGTGTCCCACAGGCCAGGGTCTCGGGACCTTGAACATGCTGAATTAGCAAGACCTTGTCTTCTCAGCCTCCTGCCTCCATGCTGGCGGCCGCCCAGGAATGCTCACAAATATAAAACCGACTTTGTGTTTGGAATGTTCTGGAGTATAGGCTCCAGAAGCTGCATAAAGGCATCCTTGTGGGACTGGTTATCTACTGAGGGAAATCAGGCCATGGCCTCCAACCAGAGCATCCCTGGGGGCTGCCTTCGGAATGCCATGTGTTGGCATGAAGTGGGGTGTGGGGGTCACCCAGCTCTGTCTCCAGCTGACGGCCCAGAGGTGTTTCACAAAGAGGACTCTGTGGGTTCTGGAGCTGAGTCTTCAGAGGCATCCTGGGCTGGAATTTCAGAGGGCCTCACACTCACTTTGACTCTTGGGGTCTTGGGCAGCTCTTGGTCCCAGTTCCCTCTCCAGGAACTAGTCGCATGAAGCTCCTCATTCAGAAGAATTAGTGTGTGGACAGTGGGGACAAAGTTACCCCCATCACCAGTTCCTCCCAGGCCTTTGTCTGTAATGCTTACCCTGTATTCTGGGTTTTTGGGGACTCCCCTGGATAGAGAGGGTGGACCCCTCAATCTTCCAATTTGTCTTTTATTTGTACTTCTGGCTCTTACATTAAGCTCCCAAAGGATGCTTAGACAAGTCAGTGCTTCAGCCTGGCTCCTAGGAAGATGTTGAAGGTGCCTCCCCTCTCTCCCCACCTCTGTCCCTGTCTCACTCTCTGGCATCCTTGCCTGACCCTTTTACCCACTGCAGATGCCAACCAAGAGAGATTTCTTCCTGCCTAAGCCCTTGCTCCTACCTCCTGCTTTGGTTCATGAAATGCTTTGCTCTTTATGATCTTGTCTCTTTCAAAATCTTCCTGAATTTTCAATTCTTTCAGAATCGGGCTGGAGATTCACCTACATCCCCTCCCTTTCCCACAGTTCTAGAAAAACCTGCACTGATGTGTGTGTGTGTGTGTGTGTGTGTGTGTGTGTGTGTGTGTGTGTGATCTGTTTGTCAGCTGGGGACAGCCACTTTCATAAAATGTAGCAAGGGAGGGAACAGGGGTTGACAGCACCTTTTCACAAGGACCTGGCATTGAATCCCCGTGCACGGGTTTCATGGGTAGCCTAGTTGTGTCCAGGAGCTTTGGTTTCCTGTTCTAAGAAATCTGCTACTCTGAGCCCAAGAGGCAAGTGTGGGCTGGAGCTGGGGGCAGGAGGAGCTTCTGAACCATAATTGTGGAGGTAAAGACTGCTGCGAGAATCTGACAGACTTCCTATGGGACCTCTCTCTCAGCAGAATGGGCTGACCTCCTGGCCTTTGTCTCTTTGCAGGCAGGTGACAGCTAGGACATGTCTCGGGAGTTGCAAGATGTGGACCTCGCTGAGGTGAAGCCTCTGGTGGAGAAAGGAGAGGTGAGTGAAGAAGTTCCTGGTGCACTCATCATAGTCACCATGATGTGTAGGTACACATGGCCACACACACATATGCACATTTTTTTATTAAACAAATTTTATTGGATCGCCGTGAGATACAGTTACAAACTTGAGTTTCATTTGAACAATGCTCGAGCACCCATCCCTCCACCATTGCACATTTTCCATCACCATTGTTTCCAGTGTCCCACCCCCCACTCCCACCCTACTCGACTCCCTGCCTCCATGACAGGTACAGTTCTTATTCGCTCTCTCCAATTTGGGCATTGTTATTTGCAATACAGATACTAAGAGGTCATCATGTTTGGTCCTCAGTCTCCTTTCAGTACACATCTCCCATCCTAGGTGATCCCTCCAATCACCATTTACTTCGTGGTCCCCTCTCTGTCCCAACTTCCTTTTCCCCCAGCACATGGGACCACCTTCCAAACCATGGTGTGATCCTCCTGGCTCTTATCTCTACTGTCCTTAGGTATCAGTCTCATATTATGCTACTTTATATTCCACAAATGAGTGCAGTCATTCTAACACATGCACATTTTTTAATTCTTTTTAATTTTATAAAATTGTTCACAATATTTGATTATTTTTAATATTTGAACACCAATCCCACCATGGTCCAGGAATATGTATGCCCGTGGGTGAGGCTTGACCCAAGCATGTGGAGAGTGGCCACGAGCATTGTGACAGTTGAGTTCTGGAGGTTTTCAGCTGCCAGGGCTGGGTCCCTTGGGGCGGGGAGGGGTCTCACCCTCGGGCGCCCTGAGTGGAACAGCCTGGATTGCGGTCTAACAACATGGTTATGGCAACACATGCATATTTTGAATGCTCATGTGTACGTGAGCACACACACATACACATATGTGTTCACAGCTCTTTTATTTCCATACCTTGACCTGTCCAGTAATGTAAATGGATGAGAGCACCCAATTTGAGTCCTAGTTAGCCCATAGGTGTCATGGTCCTTTACCCACCTCTCTGCACCTCTGCCCACATGTTCTCATTTGTGTAAATGAGGGCACAGAGCCCACCTACCTGTGACATCTAGAGTATGCAACATGAAGCCCTGTTACCCATGGGCTCTGCATCCCCCATAGCTGCGGGGTGAAGGACTCATACACTGTGTCTAGCTTTCATGTGTCCAGATCCTGGCAATGACACTCTGGAGATTTATGCCCACTGGTAGATCCATCAACCTCTTTAAACTCTAACTATAAAATAAAGACACGAGGACTTACATCATGGGACCGGGGTGAGGATGGAGCAGATTAATCCGTCTGGCCTGGAGGACATGAACAATGTGAACCCTTGTTTCTTGAATGATCAGTTTTGAGGTCAGACTCTTTTTGTCACCGAGACCTCCCTGGGCTGCCATGATCTTTCCTGGACTAGTGATTCTGACCTTCATGCTTGCACAGTTGACCCTGGATTTCAAAACTGTGTTCATCCTCATTCTCATTGAGATGCAGAAATGCCTGAGATAATATCTCTTTTTAAAAATGTAGAAGCACAGATTAAAAAGTGAAGTTGTCGCAAGCTCAGTCAAGTGCTTAAAATAATAATCATGAACTGTGTATGAACTGTGAACCACTTCCTGGCCTCTTGGACAGCTGTATTTCCTGGGTTATCTCCTTCTCAAAGGTGGTAGATTGTAGTCACTGAGATACTAGATTTTAGAATTACCCACATTTTACCTAAGAGGAAACCAGGTCTCACTGAGGTAAATTTTTTCCTCAGTCTTATAGTTGCAAATTGTGGGACATGAGACCAAACCCAGGCCAGCTGCCTTTGCTAAAATCTTAGTTTCATTCCTATGTGACTCTGCATGTAACTGCTGTGTTTAAGCGCTGTGATTTCATGGACTTCTCATCATAAATCAACTATCTCCAGTCCCATATTGCAGAAACAGAAACTGGGAAAAGAATTGCTTCGGTTCCTTCTGATAGGACACGCAGAACTAGAAATCAGGCCCCAGGGAGCTGCAGAATGCCTCTTGTTCCATATTTTGTGTCTGCAAATATTCTCCTTAAATGGCTGGAGAGGAAATATCTGAGACTCTGTGACTATTCAGTCTCTAGGGCAATTGTTCAGCTTTACAATTACAGCATGGGGACAGCCCTAGAGAAACTATAACAAATGGCTGCTCTTTTTCCTATAAAACTTTATTTACAAATCACTTGGTGGACCTTAGTTTGCTGTGCATGCTCTCAACACATGTCTCTTCAATCTTATTCTGTGACACAGTATAAGAAAACAGACAGATGTATTAGAGCCACTAGGTAACAAAGATATATAACAATATATTGCTTTCCCAGTGAGGTAGTCTGGCACGCTTAAGATTATTCATTTAAATCCATAGAAAATCGTTTCTTTATTGGTTATGGGAACATTTGTTTTCTCTTTCTCTCTTCATGATATTCCATCAGGTTAAGTTGATTGTAAAGACCCTTGGATCTTTCCAACTTGTTGACTTGACTTTCTTATAGCACTGAAGGATATTTGCATCCTGTTTGTCAACTGGGGGCAGCTGCTTTCATAAAATGTAGCAAGGGAGGGAAAAGGAATTTCCAGGAGCTTGCACAAGGACCCGTCACTGAGTCCCCCTCAGAGATGATGGGCTCCGTGCCCACCATCTCCTGCTCATGCAAGAGCACCTCTGAGATGAATTCTCAGCAGTATCATATCTGGGTTTAAGTTTGAGGTCAGTGTAGACCTTTAGTTCTTTTCATTGTTGTCATCACTATTTATTTGGGGATCACACCACCCCTATGCAGGGAGTGTTCCCAGCATGGGGGTCACTTTCAACTCAGTGCTTGGGGAACCATGGGGTACTGAGGGTCAAACTTAGCCCGTCAGCATGCAAAGTATATACATCAACCCTTTGACTTATCTCCCCAGCTCAAAGAGATTTAAAAAAAAAATTTCCTTGAATGAGTTTTTAAAACTAGGCTGTAGTCAACAAGGAATTCAACTAATGTGTTTTATTTTTTTGCTAGACTCTGAGTTGCAAAGTTTCTCTTTGTTCGTAATTAGAAAGACTGCATAGGAGCCAAGGGAAAGAGAGTGGATTCAGAACAGACTTGTAGGGATGCTGTGCATTGACAGCATTTGTTTACCCAAGGAAATTAATGGTGCTGACCTTCTCCTGTCTCTCCACAGACCATCACCGGCCTCCTGCAAGAGTTTGATGTGCAGGCAAGTACTAGACACCACTACCTTTCCCCTCCCAGATATGTCTCCTTTCTTTCTTTCTTTCTTTCTTTCTTTCTTTCTTTCTTTCTTTCTTTCCTCCTTCCTTTCATTTGAACTAGCTCCTCCTTCAGACTTTGGGGGTCATGGGAGAGAAAGTTTTGTTCATATCCTCAAAGAGAAACAGATTTGCGGACTGGCTAAAGAAACTGGTCACTCTTCTGACAAGTTCCGGCAGAGCCGAAGCCATCAAGGGGCACTGGGTGGAGGATGGAGAAGAATGGTGAGGCAAACTGGTGGATCAGAACCCTGGGAGGGAGTGCACAGAAGCACAGCCCTATGTTCTATTTTTTTTTTATCTTTGGGTCACACCCGGTGATGCACAGGGGTTGCTCCTGGCTCATGCACTCAACTCAGGATTTACTCCTGTTGGTGCTTGGGGGACCATATGGGATGCTGGGAATCGAACCCAGGTCAGTTGCGTGCAAGGCAAATGCCCTACCTGTTGTACTATCACTCCAGCCCCACAGCCCTGTGTTCTTAGCTCTGCCTAGGAACAAGAAACCAGCCCCTCTGGGTTTACTGCTTCGTCCTGCTCTGGGCTGGCATGAGGAAGAAGGGAAGTACCTAGAATTTCAAGAAAAAACTTGCGGATGAGCTGGCTGGATTCTCTTTGTGGATAGCAAGGCTGGCACCTCAGGAATTACAAATTGTAGCCTTATCTTCCTACCTGGTGTGGGGTTCCCTGGAGGGAAAAGAGGAGGGCCATCAAGACTTGTGAGCATCCTAGAGAAGAGGGAGAAAAATATAGGGCAGATGGGTAGGCTTGCTTGCACCTTTCCTGCTCATCACATCCACTCTGTTTTTGGGCTCTGCTACCCATTGTCTGTGCTCGACCCCCAGGCCCCACTTCCCTTCTGAATCTCCCCACTCTGTGATTGGCCACCACCCAGGCAGAACCTGAAGATCTTAGCCTTGATTTTGGAAGCAAGAGAGAAATGTGGGAGGGGTCAGAGACATTGGTTGGTGCAAGATCCTCAGGCACCACACCAGGGACTGGGGTCTCCCCATCACCCTGGGGTCTCCCTGTCACCCAGACTGTCAGCTGTACTTGGTCACCTCCTTCCGTCAGGGTCTCTGGGATGTTGAGTTCTGTTTGGCATTTGATCTCCTCTGAGTCCAGATGCTCCACAGTTTTACCAGGATATATGTTCAGACATGATCCTCCACCATGTTCCGAGTCCCAGATGTCATTAGGCATATAAAACCTTTACTTCCCAGTATCACCCCATTGAACAATGATAGTCCTGTGAAGGGAGATCATTGTCTCTCTTCTCTTCAGGGGCAGGGGCTTTGAGGCAGTGTTCAGGGGACCTGGAAGCCACTCTGAGCGATTCTTTGCTATGTGTACCTTTTGGCTCCATGCAGAGCTACTCAGGCTCTTAGTGCCAGAGCAACCAGGGCCATTCCAGTAGTATTTGGGGATCTCCAGGGCTATACTGGGTGATGCTTGGGGTGCCATGCGGTGCCAGTGATGGATCTGTGGTTGGATTTATGCCATACATTAATCCTAACCTCCATCTTATTTTCCTATACCCTCTCTTTTGTGTGTGTGTTGGGGGCGGGGTGGCTGCAGGTTTGGGTCATACCCAGCTGTGCTCAGAGCTTACTCCTGGCACTGTCCTCAGGGATCACTCCTGGTGGGGCCTGGAAGACCATATATGGGGCTGGGCATAGAACCATCATTAGCTGTGCACAAGGCAAACACTTATCAGCTGTATCCAGGTCTGGATTTTCCCTTTTTATTTATTAAATTTTGTTTATTTAATTTTATTATGATAGTGGTGGTGGGAGGGAAACACCCAGTAGTGCCCAGGGCTTATTCCTGGCTTTGCACTACTAGGAATCAATCCTAGTAGTTTTTAGAGGACTCTGCATGGTGTTGAGAATTGGACTTGGGTTGGTCACATGCAAGACAAACTCCCTACCCACTATACCAAGTCCCAGCCTTGAGACACACCTGCAACTCCCCCTTTCTCCTCCCCCCCACATACCTTTTTTAAAAAAAAAAGTTGAATGAATTCAATTTTTTTTTATTAGTGAGACACCATGAGGTACACTTGTAGACTTATAAATTTTGTGCTTGGGTTTCAATTATACAATGATCAAATCCCCATCCCTCCACTAGTGCCCATTTCCTACTACCACGGATCCCAGTATCCCTCCCAGCCCCCATCCCCCCATCCCATCCTGCCTCTGTGGCAAGGCATTCCCCTCTGTTCTCTCTCTCCTTTTGGGTGTTGTGGTTTGCAAAAGAGGCATTGAGTGGCAATCATGTTTGGTCTCTAGTCTACTTTCAGCATGCTACTCCCATCCTGGGAGGATCCTCCCAACACCCTTTATTTGGTGCTCCCTTCTCTATCTGAGATCCCTTTTTCCCTATCACCCCACATAACTTTTTAAAAGCTAAAGAGATGGCATTCAGCGAGGTTCATAATTCCTATGGAGCTGGAATTATGCTCAGGTGTTCAATCCTACTAACCTGTTCTCACAATCTCTTAGCACCATCTTCATGGGCCAAGAGCAGAAGCACAGGACCAATGGTCACTCCATGCCATGCATGGTTTAGTCAATAGTGGCAAGTCTTGGCCTGAGAATAACACTGTGAGCCGGATCCCCTCTCTGCTCAGCATGGGAGCTCCTTCCTCTGGCCCATGCATGCATACACCACCAGAGGCTCTCCCTTGGTTGTTCCATATTCCTTGGGAGGCAAGCTCAGTGTGTATCTTTTCTGAACCTTCATGACCCACTTCCTATAAAATGAACAGGACATGAGTGGTTGCTTTCAGGCAATTGCTATGTCCCATGCTGTTCTAAGCCTGTTGAAGTGTCTGAACCCAGCTCCAAACCTAGCTATGACCCCAATCAGTTTGCATCGTTGTGATAAACATTGCAGATGGAACTAGATGCAATTCTTAGGAACCACATTCCAGTTCACCTGTGCAATTCCTGTTTCCCTCAGGCATGCATGTGGCTAAGCAGGTAATCTGAGTGGTGCTTCAGTGGGCTTTAAGGTTAACTCTCTGATGTAGGGATTTAGTACTCCAGAGTCAATATGGCCCCCTTTATTCTTTTTTCCTTTTGGTTGTTGGTTTTTGTTGTTGTTTTTGGACTTTAGCTGGAGATGCTTGAAAGTTATTCCTTGCTCAATCCTCAGGGGGCATTTCTGGTGGTACTCAGAGAAGGATGTGCTGTTGGTTGTTTCTGGGAATTGAACTTGGGTCTCTGGCGTTCAGTGAGTGTACTCTGGCCCTCATGGGCCTGAGTGTTCATATGTCTGACCTATGCAAACTTGGTATGTATCTGTTCCTTTAGTTTTTTTTTTATAGCTCATTATTTGCGGGTTCTCATTTATTTGGGAAATTCCATAGAAATCAAGTTTAAGGTATCTGCGCTGTCTTGCTGTGTGTCTGAAAGCAACCAGTGTTAACTCCTGAAAAATTTGATGAAGCATTTTGATGAATTTGGGCAGATTCTCTTTTCTTTTCCCTAAGTAGTTACTAATTAAAAAAATATTTTGGGGAGAGGGAGGAGTGAGTTATACTCAGTGGTGCTCAGGGCTTACTACTGGCTCTGTGCTCAGGATGCTTTGGAAGTGCTCAGCAGATCAAATATGGTACCAGGTATCAGGGTCATCTGCATGCAAAGCAAGGACCTTGACCCTGTGCTATTTTTCTCATCCAAGTTTTTTTTTCTGCCTGAATTCAAACATATTAAACAACATAGAGTTCACAGGGAGAAACTTCTCTAGAGTCTGTTGCCTGCATGGTTGCTTGGCCTGTCTCAAGAGACAGTATAGCTGCCTGGTCAGAAGCCTTCTCTGTCCTGGGCTTCCAGGACTCTTGGAGCTGATGGGTGGCTTGTTTGGCCTGCTGAAGTTTTAGAGTACATCATTTGGTGACTGAGCCACTTGTTGCTGCATGCTTTGGAGAAGGCCCTAGAACACTGGGGTTGGGTGGGCTGCCAGGGGAGGCGCTGTGATGGCAGGAATTTGAGCTGGCTTTGCAGAGAAGATTCTGGCATCCAGTGCTAGGCAGTTGTGTTTGCAAATTGCACGCATGAGTAGGTGGCTGGATTTTGAGTTCCAGCTTATTATTTTCCTTGGATAGAATTCTAGAATTCAAGAATATCAATAGCTGGCAGAAGTTTTAGTGTCCTGCTGAACCCCTTCCACTCTAGGGGCAGAGACTTTTGGGGAGATTTGAGGGGAGGGTAAGGAGGTAGTCAAGAAACATTCATCCACTCCCTCCTCCTTAGGCTTTTTTTTTTTTTTTTGCTTTTGGGTCACACCTGGCAGTGCTCAGGGATTACTCCTGGTTCTGCACTCAGGAATTCCTCCTGGCGGTGCTCGGGGGACCATATGGGATGCTGGGAATCAAACCCGGCTCGGCCACATGCAAGGCAAATGCCCTACCCACTGTGCTATCGCTCCAGCCCCCTCCTTAGGCTTTCTTGCTAAGGTGGGGACTGTTGCCCTCCTAGGAAGATGAAAAGAAAAAATAAAGAAACAAAACAGTGTGGATGGTTAAGAAACTTGCCAAAGGGTTCTACTGAGAAAGTTCCAGATTTCAGCATAGCTGACTCCTGATCTGGACAGGGAGATAGTTCAGCCCACTGGAGCACATGCTTTGCATGCAGGGGCCAGATTCCACCCCCAGGGACACAGAGTTCCTCAAGCAGCAGCTGGAATACTGCTGAGTGTATCCCCAAAACCAAAACACAAGGAAGTTATAATCACGGGAATTGTAATAACTGATATTTCTCTAATACCGGCTATGCCAGGAACTGTGCTGACCTCTCTTTCTGCAGCATCTTGTTTAACCCTCATGTCAAGAGAAGGGCCCCAGGCCCCCTCCTTTTATTTGTGCAGGGGTGAGGCCCATAGATGTTCTGAGGAATGTACCCAGCATCACACAGGGATGGGTGAAGCCTGACTCAGTGTCCAG